GTGCTCTCAGATATGTCTGACGCCTCGCTGGGCGCGGCCCGGAGGTACGAGTTCACCGACGACTTTGCGTCCGTCGCCGACTCGGAGGCCGTGTCGGCCGCGCTGGCGCCGGCTATGGACGCGCTGCGCGCGCGGCAAGCGTCGCTCGCCGCGCGGGAGATGCCGCAGAATTTGCGGTCGAGTGGGAAGATGCAGCCGCACATGAGCCTGGGGAGTACGCTCAAGTATCACGTGCCAGATTTGCAGGGGAGAAAGGAAATGCGGTCGAAGATCTCGTTTCGGGGGAAGGCGCGAGGGGAGGGAAGAGCGCATAGAGAGGAATCGATCATGCATGACTGGGAGCGCGCGGTGGCGGACAGGAAGGAACCGGCAAAGCGGAAGGCGGGGGCGAGGAGGCGCGCACGGGGCTTGGCGTTCGCGTTTTGGAAACCCTCGAGGAAGGAGGACGTGCGCGAGAGGCGGGAAGGCATGGAGATGGTGCCGGAGGACACCCAGTTTGTGCACGTCGGGGGTTATGAGGAGTTCATGCATGGCAGGAGGCCGTCGAAGCTGAACCGCTTGATCGCTAGGATTAGGGGGCAATGAAGGATGGTGGTGTCTATTGTCTTTATGTTATGTTGTTATTGTTATAGTGTCTTGCAGCACGCCGCTGGGCTCGAAAGTAGCAAAGCGGAACGCCATACGTGTGGTTACCTTTGAGAGAAGCATGTTGTTTTGTCATGTTGTGATGTACGGTGTGTATAAAACAGAGCAACCGGGACAAAGCAGGACATCAGTATCCCCCCCGTTGGTCTCCTCAAAGCCTTCTCTTGCGAGACTTCCTCCCTACGTGTACAGTACACCCTACTCGATTAAACTCTCAATACGTCACTCACCTTCGCTCCTCCCCTTCTCCCCTTCTCCCCGCCCCCAACCCTCTTCCTCAAAAATACTATCCACTACATTGCCGTGTGCCCGATGGCCGCCCCGCCGCGTCTTCGGAACATCCTCCTCACGGCCTCCCGAAACGGCCT